AAGCAGAGAAAGAAAAGATCACATGATCTCACTTATTTGTGGAATACAATGAACATAACAGTCTGAGGGACAGGGTAGAACCAGAGATGTGGAAGTAGGGTACAGAATGATAATCCTCAGAAGAGGGGCGGGGGAAGGGAAGAGATAAACCACAGAACTTTAATGCATGTACACATAACCAATGGACATAGACAACAAAGCTGTAGATGAGGTGGCTGGGATAGGGAGGAGAGTGTCAGTGGGGAAAATAGGAGAAACATCTGTAACAAAAATAAATTAGTAAAAAAGAAAAAAAGGAATGGAAAGATAATGGGAAAATCTCTAAACATTTTGAAGTTAAAAAATACCTAGATTATCTATGGGTCTAAGAAAAAGTCTCCAAAACTAAATATTCAATAGAACAGAATGAATATGAAAATATAACATAGCAAATAGTGTGAGATGCAGATAAAACACTGCAGAGAGGATTTTTTTTTTTTTATAGCATTATATGCTTACATTAGAAAAGAAAAGAATATTTCAAATCAATAAGTTTCTACCTAAGGAAATTAAGAAAAGAAGAACAAAATAAACCTAAGGTAAGGAGGAGGAAGGACATAAGAGAAAATCAATCAAGACCAACATTTTGATCAATAAAATTGAAAACAGAAAAATAATGTAGAAAAATTAATAAAATAAAAAACAACTGGTTGGGTGATAATAATTAATGAAAGTTATGAACTTCTGAAATGAATGACAAAGAAAAATAGAGAAGACATAAATCACTAATGTCAGGAATGAAATGAGGGGTATCACAAATGGGTGGAGCCCTTAAAGATTAATTAAAGAATACTACGAACAACTTGACATTCATAGGTTTGACAACTTAGAAAAATGGATTAATTCCCTGAAAACCACAAACTACCAAAACTCAGCAAAAATGATGCAAATAACCGGAATAGTGCTACTAATAAAGAAATTGATTTAAAAAATTTATTGAAAAAGGAATTCTCAGGCCAAAATGGCATCACTGGAGAATTTTTAAAAACATTAGAAGAATTAATATTAATTTGCATAATCTATTCCAGAAATTAGAAGAAAAGTAAAAATGTCCTAATTCATTTGATGAGCTTAGTATTTCCTTGATTCTAAAACCATATCAACAACAGACTGATATACATCATGAATTTAGATGCAAAATCTTCAACAACATTTTAGCTAATTGAATTTAACAATGTACAAAAAGAATAATACACAGTGATGAATGGGGCTTATTCCAGGTATGCAAAGATGGTTTAAAGTTTGAAAATCAATTAATATAATTTACCATCTCAACAGACTAAAAAAGGAAATTTATTTGATCTTGTTGATTGACATAGAGAATGCATTCAACAAAATTTGAGACTTATCAGACTCACTGACTTGAACACAATTAAAAAATTGGAAGATAAGTGTTGGTGAGAGTAAAAGAAATTAGTACCCTCATACACTGCTGGTGGAAGTGTAAAATGGTGCAGCCACTGTGGAAAACATTTGGCAGTTTCACAAGTTAAACATAGAGTTACCATACTTTCCAGCACTTCTGCTTCAAGGTATATATCCAACAATATTGAAAACAGGTATGCAAACAAATACTTGTACACAAACATTTGGTAGTACTATGCACAACAGCACACATGTTCATCAACTGATAAATAGGTAAAAAAATGTGCTATATCTATATAGTGAAGTATTATTTAGCCATAAAAAGGAATGAAGTACTGATGCATTCTACTACATGGATGAACTTTGAATATTATGATAAGTGAAAGAAGCCAGACACATACAGTTACATATTATGTGATCCCATTTGTATGAAACCTCCTGAATAGGTAAATCCACAGAAATGGAAAGCCTGTTAGTGATTGTTAGGGCCTGGGAGAAGGGGGAATAAGAAGGGGAAGCTTAGTATTAAAGGATTTCTTTTAGAGGTGACAAAAACATCTTGAAACTAGGAAGAAGTGAGGTTGCACAACACTGTGTACTAAAGGCCACTGGATTATATACTTCAAAATGACTAATGGTTAACTTTATGGCATGTTAATTATGCCTCAATAAAAAAAAGCCAACAGCCCTGGCCAGTTTGGCTCAGCGGTTAGAGCGTTGGCCCCGCGGACCACAGAGTCTCAGGTTTGGTTCCCGCCAAGGGCACATGCCTCAGTTGCAGTTCGTCCCCAGCCCAGGTAGGGGTCAGGTGAATAGCAACCTGTCGATGTGTCTCTTTCACATCAATGTTTCTCTCTCTCTCTTTCTCCCTCTCTCCCTCCCACTCTATCTGAAGATAAATGCAAAAATGTCCTCGGGTAAGGATAAAAAAAAAAAAAAGCCAACATTCATTTATGATAAAGACTCTTAATTCATTAGGAATAAAAAGATATTTCATCACCTTCGTGAAGAGCATTTACAAAAACCCTGTATCTTATATCATACTTGAAGTGAAAGACCTACTGCTTTCTATGACTGGGAGAAAGACAAGAATGTCCACTGTTGTCCCTCTTCTTTAGCATAATACTGGAGAATCTAGCCACTGGATAATGTAATAAAAACACATAAAAGACTTTTATATTTCAGAGAAAGAAGTAAAAATGTCTCTATTTGTAGACAACATAATTGTCACCATAAAAAACTCCAAAAAAATCTACAAAAAGAAATTTCTAAAACTAATGAGTTCATTAATGTTGCAGGATACATGAGCAATACAAAAAAATCAATTGCATTGAAGACAAAGAAGTGAAAGTAAAAATTAAAAAGCACTTTTATAATTCTCCAAAGAATACAAAATATTCAGTTATAAATATAACAAAAATGTGCAGGATTTATATACTAAAAGTTAGAAAAGACTGATAATAAAGTAAAGACATCAAATCTTTTAAAATTGATCAATATGTTTAGCAAAATTTCTATCAAAATTCAACTGATTTCTTTTTAGATCCAGACAAGATTATTCTAAAATTTATATAGAAAGGAACTAGAGTATTCAATACAATTTTGATAAAGAACAATGAAGTAGAAAATCATCTTTCCCATTTCAAGGCTTACTGTGTACTTGCAGTAATCAAGAAGATGTGGTCCTGGTGTAGGATAGACAAATCAATGAAACAGAGTGCAGAATCCGAAAATAGATCCACATAAAAATGCCCAAATGATTTTTGACAACGGACAAAAAGAAATTGAATTGAGGACAAAAAGAAATTGAATTGAGAATGAACAGCCTTTTCCATGAACAATGCTGGAGTATTTAGGCATGCATTAGCAAGAAAGTGAACCTCTACCCAAACTTCACAGTTTATACAAAATTTAGCTTAAAATGAATTACAGATTATAATGTCATGTAAAAGTATAAAATGTATAAAATATATAAAAAGTATAAGTAAAATATGTAAAATTATAAAACATAAAAGAACATAGAAAAAAATTATTGGGGAAACAATACTAGGAGAAAAGTTAGATTTATTACCAGAAGCACAATCTATAACAGGAAAGTTGGATTAATTTGATCTCATCAGAATAAAAAACTTTTACTCTGTGTAAGACTGTTTAGAGGATCAAAAGGGAAATTATATACCAGTAGAAAATATTTGCAAATTACATATCTGACAAAGGCCTGATATCTAGAATATATAAAAAGCTCTCAGATTAAAATTTTAAAAATAGAAAACAACTCAGAAAAAATAACTTACATAGACATTTCATCAAAGAGAATATATAGATGAAAATAAGCATGTAAAAATATGTTCAATATTATTAGCTATTGAAGAAATGCAAATTAAAGCTACAATGATATATCAGTCAAAAAGGCTAACATGAAAAATAGTGATAACACTAAATTCTAGCAGAGGGAAAGAAACTGGGTCACTCATACATTGATTATACCTATAGGAGGAGGATGCAAAATGGTACTCTAGAAAGTGATTTGGTAGTTTCTTTCAAAATAAAAAATGGCTTTACCAAGCAACACAGCAAGTGAATAGATGGGCATTTATCCCAGAGGAATGGAAACTTATTTTCATGTAGGAACTTGTACATGAATGTTCCTAGCAGCTTCATTGTAGTAGCCCAAATCTTGAAATTACCCAAATGCTCTTCAATGGATAAGGGGTTAAACAAACTTACAAACTGGTGTATTATGTGATACTACTCAGCAAATGAAAAACCAAAAAGGGGAATAAATTATTGACACATACAAAAACATGAATGAACCTCAAAAAAATTATGCTAAGTGAAAAAGGGCAATTACAAAAGGATATAAAGTGTATGATTCATTTATGTAAAATTCATGAAATCATATAATTGATGGAGAATGGGTTAGTGATTGCAAGGGTACCAGTGGGCAGAGGAGGAGGGAGTGGCTATAAAGAGGCATCAAAAAGAGGTCTTGTCATTTGCACAGTAGCAGAGTGTAGGTTTTTTTTTTTTTTTTTTTTTTAATCCTCACCTGAGGACACTTTCCCATTTTTTGTTCAGGTAGAGTGGGAGGGAGAGAGAGGAACAGAGAGAGAGAGAGAAACATAGACGTGAAAGGAACACATCAAGTGGCTGCCACCCGCACAACCCACCAGGGCCGGGGACAAACTGCAACCGAGGTACGCGCCCCTAGCGGGAACCGAACCCAGGTCTCTCAGGACTGCAGGTCGACACTCTAACCGCTGAGCCAAACCGGCCAGGGCCAGAGTGTAGGTTTTTATCCTATTTATGCTTAATGAATCCAAACAATTACACTAATATCTCTCTTTTGAAAAAGGAAAATATACTATTATATTTGTGGTATTATATAATTATTCTTTCATAATTACTTCCATATTAAACAAAGGAAGATCATCTTGGTGTTGATTTTGTGAGGTTTTGTTTATTATCAAGTAAATGAGAGACTTAAAAATGAAAAGTGGTTTCATTTTATGATGAAATAAAGATACTTTCTCTGTAGATGAGCAGATAGTTAAAATGATGAACTATAACAAGGAAGGAAAAAAGGTATTTCTTGCCTCTAAGATAAGGTAATGAAGTATCTATCTTCAAAAAGCTGTCATTTAATTTTAACCTCTGATGCAAAATGTTAGCAGCTTGACTTTTCATTGTTTCTGCATTGCTAGAAACAAGGTGAAATTTAAGCACTACATCTGTTTCCAAACCATCATTACTTGACCTGAAAAAAAAAATCACCAGAATAAATGAGTAAGGTCATAGTCATAGCAATTACTATTTTATACCTTATTATTTAAATGCTATTCATATCTTCAGAAAACAATATAATACTTTATACATTTTATTATCATGGATTTTCCCCCTTTTCTTTATCATATAAGTGTTAATATGTAAATCATTCCCTGCTTATAAAACTTGATCATATTCATGGAGGGGAGAGTAACTGAAAGTTCTACAATTTTTTTTTCTGAAAAAATAAATCAAAAGCATTTGTTAAATCCATCAACTCTTTCTACATATAATTTCCTTGATTTAAAGAAATTCACAATATCTGTTTATGTTTAAAATTTAAGTAAAATTTTAAAGTTAGAAAGAGAGAGATTGAGAGAGAAAAAAACAAAAAACATTGATGTGAGAGAAACATCAGTTGTTGCTTCTTGCACATGCCCTGATTAGGGGTCAAACCTGAAACTTAGGTATGTGCCCCGATCAGAACTGAACCCACAACTTTTTTGAAATGCAACTAGTATAATATATTTTATTTCTACCCAAGTTAAGAAAATATCCCCTATAGGTACTCTGAACAGGAGGAATAACAATTAAATGTATTAATATTAAATTATTTTTGCTCTTATTATATCTAAGATTTTTAGATCTTATCTACAAAGCAAAAAATTGAAGATTAACTAAATAATACAACAAAATTGCCTTTTCATTATATGAATTAATTAATTATGATTACCTAAAGTTGACAACATGAGACTCGATGTAATCATGTTTTAAACTGGAACTTTGAAATATCTTATCTATCTGAGAAGAGAAAAAAAAACCAGCATATAACTTTGTTAAATATGAATTTCACACATTTCAATATATCACAGAAAATTTTGTATAAAACCTACAGTGATTCAAATAGCTTTTCATTCTAAGCTCCACCTATCCCCAGAATGCTCAATGGGGCATAATCCTGCTATCCTAAAGGTCATCCTAGTACTTAGATGTTTATATTTGAACAACTTGTCACATGGTTAGAGATGGCTGTTATAGAGTTGAATTAAGGTGGATATTTCAATAGCTAGTATAAAATATATACAGAGTTGGAGGTACAAAGACTGAGTTTTTTAAAAACTTGTTATGTATGGACTTAAAATCCACTATCATTCACACTATCCTTCAAGCTCAGTTATCATCCTCATGGGCATGATTGAAGAATCAGTCTTTTAGGCTTTATGGAAAGAGTTAAGGCCATATTTTGATCCTGGGGTAAATGGGGGAGGGGAGAAGAATATATATTTATTGGGTACTTCTTTAAAAGGAATATACTCATCAAGGAAAATCAGGAAATAATTACTTAAATACAACTATGCTATTTGTGTGTCATTTTAGGCTTCTATGGGATAATTTCTCTCCGTGGTATAGATTCCTAAAATAAATTATTTCTTATTAAAACCACAGCTTGTTGCAGAATCTGTGGTTGTACAAACCTATTCACTAGCATTGATTCATCAATCTGGCTTTTCAGAAAAAAAGATGATCATGGGCCAAACCTCAAGTGAACTTGAGTCTCAACAATTATTTCCTCAAATCAGAAGAGAAGAGTTGCCAAATTATGTGTGTTGTACAAGTGCTGTTCACTGATCTGGTTTCATTTATGCGATTTTCTCTGGTGAGGCTCCATGTCAAATCATTTTAGATAGGTTGGTAAGCATAAGTTTATTGAAAAATCAATAGTTATTAAAAAAATCAATGACCATGTGTTTTCCTTCTAACATGAAGAAAAATTTGTTTACTTAGGAAATAATTTTATATACACACATGCACATTTATATGACAAAACCTAATACATATTCATTGTAAAAAGTTATAAAAAGCTAGCAATACAGCAAAGCGTAAAGTATTAAAATAACTTCTAAATCACTGTAGAACACCTATATTTTTTATATATATACTTCTAGATTTTTACTTAGATTTTTATAAAATTTATTATAAGTTCTCTAACTATCTACTTCTATTCTCTTTTTAATTTCATTATTATTTGTTGTTGTTTCCCTTTAAACCACAGCTTTGTGAATCATGTTATTGCCAATGGTAACTGAGAATGTAAACAGTCTAAATTATTGAGCTCCAAAAGGCATCTCTAAATTTCATTTTAGGTACTGGCTTTAATCATGTCTTCCAAGAACATGTTTGCTAGAACTGTAACTCACAGTCTAAATCAGGGATCAGCGAATTACAGCCTGTAGGACAAATTTAGCCAACCACTCGTTTTTGTGTGCCTATCATCTAAAAGTGGTCTTCACATTATTTTAATAGTTGAAAAATATTAAAAAATAATATTTTGTCATAGCTAAATATTTTACAAAATTTAACTTTCAGTGTCCAGCATACAGTTTTACCGGAGCACAGCTCCACTTATTTGCTGACGTATTGTCTGTGGCTGCAGTGGCACTACAATGACAGATTTGAATTACTTCAGAGGGACTCTGTGGCCTGCAAAGCTGAAATTATTTACTATCTAGCATTTTACAGAAAAAAGTTGCCAACTCCTGGTCTAAATTACTGTACTTCTGTACTGTTCTTCTAAATTATGATACTTTTCTTATGTTGTCACCATTTGCATTCTAGAAGACAGGACCAATACTAGTAAATTGTTTATTTATTTCCTTCATCTCTTCGATGAGTATTTCTATGATTCTACCATGTGGCAGACACTGTGACAGGTACCAGAGTTAAAAGAACAAGTAGACTTAGCCCCTCACACATCCAGAGGGGCCTAGACATACAACAGTGATGATGTCCCAAAGCGGTAAGTGCTCCAGCAGAGGTGTGTGAAAAGTTCTGTGAAACAGATGCTAACATCCATTCAGACATTACTTTTCATACTTTTTATTCTCAACATAAACTGTTTTTCAGAATAATTCAGAGAGGTGGGCATGATTATCCTTATTTTGAAGAAACCTTGAGGGGTGAAGCAGCTTTCCCAAAGTTGAGACTCTGACAAAGAGTAGAATTGGGAAAGGAATCCAGGTGTTCTGATTTCAAAGCTTAGACTGTCTCCAAGTCAATAGATTTCTTCCTGTAACAAAAATATTCTCTACCCTGCCAACCTCACTTAGTTGCATCTCTCCAGTCATTTCATCACCTTCTACTTTTGGTTGGGAAATGGCTGAAGAAATGTTTCTGAACCTGACAAGAATGATCTTTCATCTTTGGTTAATGCTTGGCTCAGGAGAAGCTGTGTATACAACTGGAGTCTTCGGTGGAAGTGTGCGTTCCTGTGCTATATTTTTAGGAATAAATATTCAGTATAATTGCCTTATGGGAAATGTATTAGGGTCATACACACAGCAGGTGTGTGATAAACAGTATATGGTAATGTCGTTTGTGCCTGAATGATTGAGTTATGTTTCCAGATACTCTATTTTGTTGTTGTTGTATTTAAGCCTTTTTTTTTTTTTTTCTGTTTATCTTATGTTGTTCAGTCTTCGGTGCAGTCATTGTTTTCCAGTGTACCTGAGACAATGTTGGTTAGGGTTGCCAGGATTAGCAAATAAAATAGTTAAATTTTAATTTCAGGTAAACTATAAATGATTTTTTTTTCATATGTGTTTAAAATACTGAACAAAGTATTTTTTCAGGAAATTATGAAATTAAAATTTAGCTGGGCATTCTGTATTTTATCTGGCAAACCCAATATAGGTGCAATTTGGTGTGTTCTCAACTCGCCCCTTTATTTTAACCTTCATCTTCCCAACAGAATTGTCAGGATAGGAATGGTACCAGAAAAACTTAGACTTACCTCATCACTGATTTTTTGTTTTAAGTCAATCCTAACTTTTGAGTGTTCTACTAAAAAATCAGGATTATATTCAATACTTGGGATCTGGAAGGAGGTTTGATAATAGTGCAACTTTTTATGATCTGGAAAGGAGAACAAAAATGCATGGTTTCTCTTCAGTATATATGAGTTATATAAATAACAGAAATAGAGGGGACAGCATGAAAAAATGTCCTATAATTGATAAACTTCTGACAATTAAACATATATCTGGGGCCAATATCTTCCTCTTCCTTTTTAAGATTGCACGTTCTCTTAGTCATGTAGTTTTGTTGTTTCCTGATGCAAATTATCTCAAATTTAGAATTGCTACTAAAATAATATTTTTATTCTCAGTATATTAATTAATATTAAACCATAAATAACATAGGATATCAATCTATGGCATTAGTCAAGAAATAATATTATGTGAACTAAGTCAAATTTTAAATGCTAGAAGCATTTTTTACACATAGAGGATTATAATTTCCAAAATGTAGATACATTTATGCAAATCAACATTACATTGTTCAAAGTATATATACATTTATGCAAATTATTACTGCAATGAAAATTATATTAAAAAATATTGAGATTGTGAAATAATTGAGTGGATATTTAAAATTTTAAATTAAAAAAAATACAATGAAATAGATTCTTACCAAATGCGAAAAAATAAACAAGGAGACCGATGATCATTGCAAGAACCAACACAACACCTGAAACAATAAGGGCAATTGCCCATGGTTTCAAATAATTTGTTCTTCTGCCTCGTATTGGTGGCCTTTTGAGAGAGAGTAATATGTTAAAAATAAACAGAACTTAAACTCTAGAATCTCAGTTTCACATAGTTTTGACATAAATTGTCTCCCCCCACCCCACCCCGGAATTTATGGTTAGCTCATATTGCATTTGGTAACATTAGAATATATTTTTCAATAAAAAATTAGAAAAAATACTGTCGATGAAAACTCATTGATGTTTGACTTTATAATTGATTTTAAAAAGTCAGAATCATACCACGGTGACTATGTTTTCATGTATTTCCCAGTCCATTAACTAGATGTTCTAAAATAGTTTCACTTTGCAAATGAAGTAATACCATATATTTGGTTTATGTGCTTCAAATCACAATGAGCCTCAAAAAGTGAGGACATATGGGTAACTCCTCTCATTCTAGCATGAACAGAGACTCAGAGTGACTACTAAAACATCAAAATTGGATATTGGAAGAGCTAGAATTAGGACTCGGACTATTATGGCTCTACACACATCTGTACGTAAATCCATAATCCTCACTTATAAAACAAGTAATCAGTAATACATATACAGAGCATCTAAAACAGAACAGAAGAAGACAGAAGAGAATAATAAAGAAGAAATAATAAACCAAAAGGAGATCATATATATAATGGACAAATAAATAGTGATAGGCCAGGACTTTGAACCCAGGAACTCATGAGAACCACCTGTGGTATATGATGAATATCTATTTCATAGGATTAAGATTCAAACCTGTGATTTTTCTAGATAATATTGCATGGAATACCGCCATATTTATTTGAATAAATAATGAATCAATTTAAAGAAAAATATTACAATAATAGTACCAATAGCATACAAATATGGCAAAAAGTATAAAACTGGTATGCAAATGATTGACCTTTGGCAAATCTTTGTGGAAACAGGAAAATGAAACAAAGCTCTTCCCCCATCCAAGTTTCAGGGTCTACAACCTACAGACCAAATCTGAACAGTTATAGAATTGAGACAGGCTAGAAGCGGACCAACAGGGCTTGTCCAGAAAGATCTAATGCATGAGAGAACTGGACAGGAATATGGATCTAAGAATTAGAAGTACTGCTTCCAAATACACACAGAAAAGGAGAAGAAGGAATTACCTTCTTTGGGATTGGAAAATAGAGGCCCCAGCTAAATAACTGAAAATATATCTGAGATGTGCCTTTTGGCATTGATGATCTGGAGGAAGCAGGGATGCTTCTGTATCCTTGTATTCAGGCAAAGAAGCTAGAAGCAGTTTTCCCACCCCAGGACCTATAACCTAAACTCTGATAAGTACCACAGGTAGTATTAAGTGAGTTCTTCTGTGTTTCTGGAAGGATCTAAAATTACCCTGACCTGCTACTCTTTGGCTGATGGCAAGACAAGAGTGCCTGCAACAATCTGAAAATACCTGAAGTATTGATAGAAAAGCTGGGATCCCACTGGAGTACAGGCAAGAGTTAACGAACATATTTATCACCTTTATTAGTAAGATCATGGGCAATCATAAACTCATTCAGTTGACATTTGCTGATTTCTTCTGTATGGCCAAACACTTTTTGCTCAAGATTCAAAAATGAATAAGACATAGTCTCCCATCTTTAAGAATGTACAATCTAGAGAGACACACTAAGTAACAACTATAATACAAATGACAAATGTTATAATGGAACTAGGCCCAATATGCTATGAGAGATAAGTGGGTACAAATGGTTTTGCCTTTAAAAAGTTGTTCTTTAAACTTGGCCTTGAAGGCTGAAGAATAGAAATTGGCAAGGATGACATGTACTGCAGGCAAGGGGAGCAGCACAAAGAGAAAGACAAGGAGAAATGAAGCAAGGACAAGGGCTTCTCAAAGACATACTCGAGAAAGTCAAGTTAATGAACAAGAATAGAGATAAACTTAATGCATGTATTCATTAATTAACTCAGTAGATATTTATTGAGCATTACCATGTACAAAGTAGGGAAATACAAAAAGAATCTTACGTAGATTGTCCTCTCAAGAAACTTACAGTCTTACAGAGGAGAAGGAGCACAATGCACAATAATTGCTACCAGAGTTGCAGAGATTTTCTAATAGCTTTTGAAGAAGGACTAATGATTTCTCTTTGGAGGAAATAATGGCTGCAGAATAGTGATAATTTTAAAAAAATATTGGACCCATTTTCTCACTGTCATCCCTCTGAGTCAGATAGGGAAAACAATTTCTAAAGAGGGAGCTTATTTTGCAATAGAATTCTCATCTCCAAAAGCATATGGTTTCCCACAAAACTCTTCTACTTCCAACACCGGAAACATTGTGATTGAATTACAGACTTAGATCTGTATAAACCAAAATTAATTTTAGACTGTAATGCAGAATAGAAATGAGAAAATGGAGCTGCAGCCTGGGAGACACAGATTCAGGCAGCAACTTAAACTGTGTTTTCCTGAGACAGAGGGAAGGTTGCCATTTATAGTGCAAGTTCCCACCTAGTTTCCCAATTAGGTCCATTTTATGTAAATGAAGTGCAAATTGTGCAGTTCTGATTGGATGGGGGCAGGTCTCCGTTGGTAAAAAGACAAAACCAGGGCATCCTCTGCATTGGTTGACTCATATGCTTCACATACACAGGTGGGGCATAGTGTGGGAAGCTGAGAGTTCAGTCTAGGTTATTCCTTTCCCGTATGCACAGTATGTGAAGAACCACTGTCAGCAAATGGCTCCTAGGCTCTAATTATTTATAAAATTTGGGCCCCTGGTTGACCATGGGAAGCCCATCTCAACAGATAAATTTCTTTTTGAGGATTACATCAAATGAATCTTCCTTTTCAGAGTCCACATAGAAGTAACAAATGAAAATATAAATTTCCTTAACAAAGCAGCCACGACTTAGAATATTTATTCTTAGACGCTTTAAAAAACTAAATAAAATTGTCATTCTATTTGTTAGTACTAATATGATTTTAATTTACACATTGACTAATTTCAGATTGTCATTCCAATCTGTGGTTATTCCAGATTGGCGGAGTTTGCACCTCATACATAATAGGTAAATGTTTGTCTACTACATAAGAAAATGTGTTATCAGGTGGTAGACAGCCCTAAGTTATTTGCAACAAAAGAACTATTTTTAACAGAGTTTTGCTAGAGATACATTTTTCAAACATAGCAGGAGGGGAGAGATTAACAGTTCCTTGGAATCAAGATACATTGACAAGTTTTGTACTTACAGATTGCTAAAGGACAGTTCTCTTCTCTTTCTTTCTTGGCTTCTTTCTCCCTTTCATTCCAGTTTAAAAAATTTAATTTTGTTAAGACTATCCCAGTAAGATGACTAAACAGGTTCATTGCAGTGCAGGAACACAGCCTTAGAGAAACTTTTGACATTTAAGCGAAAGAAAAATATGTGACTTCATCTCGGAGGTATTCCTGACAAAGCAAAGATGAGCCACTGCTCATCTGTGGTTAATGAGAGCTACCCACTCAGCAGGCCAGTCTAGAAAATTTTTCACAAAGAATTAAGGCATTTTGAAAAGTATCTTCTTTTAAATCCCTCCTCTACCTTTGTTTAAATTCTGAGTGCTCATTACCCAGACTTTCTCATGAAGAGGAACTTCTTGAAACTCAACAGAATGTAATGAACTCTTCTGGCTCTTTTCAATATCAGCCATTTTCTTTCAATGTAACAATCTTTTATGAAGGTACATCTTCAGGTCCTTTTCCCTCAGATAGCTCTCCTGACATGTTATTTTTCCTGGGACTTTTTAAATGGCTTATATTATGAGTATTGTCATCAAGTGATTCAAGGATGAGAAAAAAAAAGGTTTCTTTCTGCCACAGAGTTGCCACATGATTGTCCAGCATAATGGTTAAGAGTGTGGGTTCTGTAGCCTGCTGACCTGAGTTCCTATGCCAGCTCCCCCACCATCAGACATTGGCAGGCTTTCAGCCTCTTTGTGCCTCAACTTCCTTATCTATAAAATGGGGGTAATAATACCCATCTTAAAGGTATTGCATACTCTTGCAAAGACAAGTGAGTTAATATATTTAAGAGCACTTAGAACAGTAATCAAAACATGGTGAGGATTTAGGAGTTTTATTTTATTATTTTTATTATCAAAAGCAGCAGAGAAATGATACCATGAGTACATGATGGAGTGGCATGAGCTGATGGAACGTGTGTGCTTGATGGTAGATGTGGCTGCTCTTAAAAGAAAGAGGTGGGAACTGGTGCCCAGGACCTTGGAATCTGAGTGGCAACACCAGGTACAAACTATGCACAGACTGGGATGTATCTTGGGAGCCTAGCAAAGCCCTGATAATCTCCAAAGAACATCCCAGTAGATAAGAGATTCCAAGTTTAGGGGAAGGAGGACCACGAGAGCCTTCAAGACTAGTCACAGGGCCCTGGCCAGTTTGGCTCAGCAGTTAGAGCATTGGCCTGTGGTCCAGAGAGACCCAGGTTCAGTTCCTGCTAAGGGCGCATACCTCGGTTGCGGTTTGTCCCTGGCCCAGGATGGGTCGTGTGGGTGGCGGCCACTCGATGTGTACCTTTCACGTCGATGTTTCTCTCTCTCTCTCTCTCCCCCACTCTGTCTGAACAAAAAATTGAAAAATGTACTCGGGCGAGGATAAAAAAAAAACTAATCACAGGGTTCAGATGTAGGCATCACGTGGTAAGCACAGTTTGGAGCATCCACAGGGAAAGAGTTATTGGACAATAATAATGGGTATGAGAAAATTTAAGACAAGATGGGTGAGTCATGTATCAGGTTTTAATCCACTGCCTAGGGAAGACAGAATGCTGGAAGATGTCATGAAAATATTAGGAGGTGGTGTTATTACTCATAATAATAGTGGCTTAACAATGATGACAATGATCCTGTTAATTGTACAACAGATATAATGAGATTTTTGTAAAATCTATGATATGAGTAGGAATACTAAAAGTTGTGCAAAAGATTAGATGACCATTTGTGCTTCCTTTTATGTTTCATGTTCTGACAAGCGGTGTG